GTACGTGTGGGGCCGGGTGTCTCACCCTCGTCGTGTTGCGTCGCCCTGCCGGCACGCCGCCTCCCGCTCAACCGCATCGTCCACCCGCAATTTCGTATCACGCCCGCCGCATCAACATTTCCTCTATCGCATCATCATCGCGCGTCCTATCGGACGCTTATGCTTTTCCCTTCTCTCATATGGACATGGCTATTCCATGCACTCCCTATTCCTCATTGGTATCATATGAGAACCTGGCACAGGTTCTGAAGGGGGAGAATGTAACGGATCGTTCATTATCTTATCTTATCTACATAGTTAATCTACATCTTGTATCTAAATCTGGATCGTCATGGTGATCGGCGCTGATCCATCTGGATCCGCGCGACGTGGCGAAGGCTTCTCAGCCTTTCACCACGTCCACCATAGTATACGCCCTCTCAATCTAGAGATTGGTTCAGTGTACTTTGGACTTGTGTGAATCAGGCGACACCCGTATCATTACAGTGTACGTGCAACATACCCTGTTCCGTCCATCTACTAACGAACACAAGGATATCTAGACGGAGCGTCGACTCCGAGTAATCTCAAACCCTCTGTTGCCTGAGGCTAGCGTTGGAGAGTTCCGTATGATATGTAGTTGATATCCAAGTCATCATGTCAACGCAAACGACTGTACGCTCTGGACAATCAGACTGGTGTAGTTGTCTGATTGTAAGTTACGTATTGCGTTCGAATGACAGCAGGCCATACTGACCGACTAGTTTTGACTATGAAATACCTCGGCCGGACAAGGTATAAATTTGTCGCAGAAACTGAATGATGAACCTCATATCTTGGCGGCACCCGACTGCGAATGTCTCACAGCCCGTGAGAATGGATAGATAGGCGGCAACTTTACTCACTCCTCGCGGAACCATGCAGCTGCAAACCCCCACTAGCAGGACAATCTTCCGAGACGCATTGAGGTTAGACCTCGATTACATTCTCAGAGTGCTGCACGGGGCTGCGGAGCGCCGCATTCATTTCATAGATGTAAAGCCGTCATCCCACACTTCCAAGATGAAGGTTTGGTCAAGGAAAGCGAGGTGCGGCAGGCTTCTAAACAGGAACGGGCCTCTGTTCGCGGGAGCATATATACGTCAGCGCAGCGTTCCCACTGCGACACGCTTTTCTTAACCGTCGCGGTCGGGTGCAGAGGAATTCGTCGGAGCCTCACCTCACCTCATTGCATGCGACCAACTAGATCACAGTCTTTCTGCTTCAACTGCTATCTTACAATGCGATCGCTCTTAGGACGGCTACCAGTAGCACGGGCTTTGTTGTTCTTCAAGCATACACGACCTCAGGAATAGCAGTATCCGCAGTCCCACGTCTGAGCTTCCGACTCTCCGGGTCCTGCAGAGTTCAAACGAGCGTCAACCACCCGCACCCACGCAGCACGCAGCATGCACTGAGCACGTACGTTGTAATTGGCACCGCGCTTCGCCCTGATGCGCCTAACCATCCACTCTGCCATCGTCATACCGGGCTCATACTTGCCCGCAGGAGCCCTTGCGACCGCCTCAGCGATCATAGGGCTCTTCTTGCCCAGATGCTTGAGCGGGGCCGTATCGTTCGGGCGAGTGAAGTAGATCAGAGACCAGCGGTCGTACTTCCCTTGATCCTTCGGAGGAGGGCTGTATAGGTTAGGTGTGAGCTCATTATATGGCGGTCGAGGCGACGAAAAGGGTGGCTGACACGACACGGTGGATGTTGGAGCGGATAATGCCGCCGCTGAAAATGTTGAGCGCGTCGCCGACGTTGCAGATTGCATGACCCGGAATCGGCTGTATAGAGGGTGTCATTCACCATGCGTGCGAATGCAGTCGCGACATTGCTGACCTTGACATACAGCCACTTGTCCGAACCTGGCGGAAGGACTTGCAAGCCGCCAAGACGGTTGTGGAGGAATGACTGGAAGTGTGATATGACTTGAGCTGTTGGGCCAAACACAAAAGTGTTTAATCTCACCAATGACCCGTAATCCGTGTGTGCCGTTAGGAACACCTTCTCATCTGGTACTAGGCGCGGAGGAGCACGGATGACCCGCGAGATGCAAAAGCTGCGCTCTTGCGCCTTGTGAAACTCCGCCAGTGACCCCTTGGGCAGACCGAGCTTGTCGTTCAAAACATCAATGAGGAAGTGGTTGATCTCCGTTGACTTTTGGACGAAGGGCTTGATAGTCGACTCCATGCGCTCATCAGGAAAACGTCACGGACTTGGACCCATACTTGGGCCCAAGTTCATGTACTTGGACTCAAGTCCGTGTACTTGGACTCAAGTCCGTGTACTTGGACTCAAGTCCGTGTACTTGGACTCAAGTCCGTGTACTTGGCCCCAAGTCCGTGTACTTGGCCCCAAGTCCGTGTACTTGGCCCCAAGTCCATGTACTTGGTCCCAAGTACATGGACTTGACCCAAGTCTATATACTTGGGGTACTTGGGGTACTTGGACCACAACTTGGACTTTACATGTTGACTTCAGTATACTCAGGCCTCAATTTGAGCAATTGGTGTTCTATCAGTCACACATCTTGTATAATTCTTATGTAATAATATCTATCATAGACATCCATACACTAGTTGTAAACCAGTCTGTTTTAAGGCTGTAGAAGCAGCTTTATAGTCTATTAGAAGAAGGGCAATAACATGTGATAGAAGACTTTAAGTTGTTACAATGTGCTTGTTTCAGTAGTGATACAGAGGTACAATATCCAGATAATGCGCAAGAATAGTGGTATCAGTGGTGGATGTCCAAGTTCTGCTATGGTACAGGAGAGGATGATGAAGAATTTCTCGGAGTCCAGCAAAGAGCGCTATATATGGTTGCTATTCTGTGCTATAGTGTGAGCTT